GGGGAGGACGAGGGCGAGGAGGAGGAGGAAGAGGATGATGATGATGAGGAGGAGGAGGATGGGGAGGAGGAGGGGAGGAGGAGGAAGAAGAGGAGGAGGAGGAGGAGGAGGAGGCGGGGGAGGATGATGATGATGCTGATGATGATGCTGATGATGATGATGATGATGATGATGATGATGATGCTAATGATGATGATGATGATGATGAGGAGGAGGAGGAGCATGATGAAAAGGATGATGAGTAGGAGGTGGAGGAGGAGGCGGCGACAGAGGCAGATGAGGACGAGTATTATGCTGCTGATGATGATGATGCAGATGATGATGATGATGATGAGGAGGATACGATGATGATGCTGATGCTAATGTTGATGCTGATGTCGAGGATGCTGACGATGGTGATGCAGATGGTGATGATGACGATGATCATGATGGTGGATCTGGTGACGATGGTGATGATGCTGGTGCTGATGGTGATTCTGATGGTGATGCTGATGCTGCTGATGATAATGATGCTGATGTTGATGCAGATGCTGATGAGGATGATGCTGATGATGCTGATAATGATGATGCTGATGTCGATGACGCTGGTGATGGTGATGCTGATGATGATAAGGATGCCGATGTGGTTGTTGATGATGATGATGCTGCTGATGATGCTGATGCTGATGCTGAAGATGATGCTGATGCTGCTGATGCTGATGATGATACTGATGATGCTGATGATGATGCTGAAGATGAGGATGAGGATGCGGATGATGATACGGACGATCATGAGGATGATGATGATGAGGATGAGGATGGGGATGCGGATAAGGATGCGGATGAGGATGAGGATGAGGATGAGGACGAAGATGAAGATGAGGATGAGGGTGAGGATGCGGATGAGGATGAGGAGGAGGAGGAGGCGGAGGACGACGAGGAGGAGGAGGTGGAGGCGGACGAGGATGAGGAAGAGGAGGAAGAAGACGATATGCAGGAGGAGGAGGGTGAGGAAGAGGAGGACGATGAGGATGACGATGAGGAGGAGGCGGAGGAGGAGGCGGAGGAGGAGGCGAGGGAAGCGGAGCAGGCGGAGGCGGCGGATGATGATGATGCTGCTGCTGCTGATGATGATGCGGATGATGATGATGATGATGATGATGATGATGATGATGATGATGATGATGATGATGATGATGATGATGCTGATGATGATGATGATGATGATGATGATGATGATGATGATGATGATGATGATGATGATGGTGGATGATGATGATGATGATGATGATGATGTGATGATGTGATGCTGCATGGGATGATCGCGCTGATGATGATGATTCTGATGCTGATATGTTGATGATGATGATTGCTGCATGGATGATGATTGATGAGATGATTGGATGATGCTTGACCATTTGCTGATTTGCTGTGCTGATGAGAGGAGATGATGATGATGATCATGCTGATGTGATATGAGAAGATGATAATGATGATAATGAAATTGAGAGGGGAGGAGGGACACGAGGGAACGAGGAGGATGGAGAAGGAGGATGATGAGGTGGAGGAGGAGGAGGAGGATGAGAGGAGTCGTAGGAGGGGGAACAGGAGCGGATGATGATGATGATGATTGATGATGATGATGATGATGATGATGGATGTGATGATGAGATGGATGTGATGAGATGATGCTGCTGATGCTGATGCTGATGATGATGATGATGATGATGATGATGCTGATGCTGATGCTGATGCTGATGCTGATGCTGATGATGATGATGATGATGATGATGATGATGAGGAGGAGGAGGAGGAGGAGGAGGAGGAGGAGGAAGAGGAGGCGGAGGAGAAGGACGAGAAGGAGGAGGAGGAGGAGGAGGAAGAGGATGAGGGAGGAAAATGATGAGGAGGAGGTGGAGGAGGAGGAGGAGGAGGCGGAGGGGGAGGGCCAAGTTAGGTGCGTTCGCGTCAACATCTGACATCTTACCCCTTCCTCCCATCCCTTACCATGTCGCTGTTTATCTCTATCCGCGGACGCGTGTCGTAGCGGACCTGTGGCCTCGCGCGCGTGTGCGTAGTGGGTGGTGGTGCGCGTGCGTGCGTGCGTGTGTGCGTGGTTGTGGTTGTTGTGATGGTGGTGGTGTGTATGTGTGTGTGTGTGTGTGTGTGCGTGTGTGCGCGTGTGCTGTGGTGTGACGTGGTGTGGCGTCTTGGTGGTTTGGTGGTGGGCCAGGTGCGTACGTGCGTGATGGCGGTGGTGGTGGTGGTGGCGGTGGTGGTGTGTGTGTGTGTGTGTGTCTCTGTGTGTGTGCGTGTGTGTGCGCGCGTGTGTGTGTATGTGTGTGTGTGTGTGTGTGTGTGTGCGTGCGTGCGTGCGTGCGTGCGTGCGTGCGTGTGTGTCTGTGTGTGCGCGCGTGTGATGTGGCGTGACGCGGTGTAGCGTGGTGGTGGTGGGTGGGGTAGTGCGGTGGTGGTGGCGGTGCGCGGTGGTGGTGCGCGTGCGTGCGTGCGTGCGTTGGTGGGTGGAAGTGGCGGTGGGTGTGCGTGCGGCGGGGCGGGGCATGGTGCGGCGCGGTGGTGGCGGGCGGATGGGCGCGCGAGAAAGAGGCCCGCGCTGGGGCGAGAACGCCATCCTGAACGACGGAGGCAAAACACCGATCCGAAAATGAGGCCCACGCTGCAGCGGGAGCACGATTCGGAACGATTCGGGAGCAGAAATGAGGCCAGCGCCTCAGCGAGAGCATCATTTTGAAAAAAAAACGCAGGCGAAAACCCAACTCCCGGGAATCCTGTGTGTAAAAAAAACAGTACGCGGGGGGGGGTCGAATATTCCCAGCACGCCATCAGGGGAAGAGGGAGAGTAGTATTCATATTGAGTAA